CTCCCCATATATTATACCATTATATAACCGTCCACGGCTCCCCATATATTATGCCATTATATAACCTCCCACGGCTCCCCATATATTATACCATTATATAACCTCCCACGGCTCCCCATATATTATACCATTATATAACCTCCCACGGCTCCCCATATATTATACCATTATATAACCGTCCACGGCTCCCCATATATTATACCATTATATAACCGTCCACGGCTCCCCATATATTATACCATTATATAACCGTCCACGGCTCTCCATATATTATACCATTATATAACCGTCCACGGCTCTCCATATATTATACCGTTATATAACCGTCCACGGCTCTCCATATATTATAACTTATATAACCTCCCACGGCTCCCCATATATTATACCATTATATAACCGTCCACGGCTCTCCATATATTATACCATTATATAACGTCCGACGGCTCCCCATATATTATACCATTATTATAACCTCCTACGCCTTCCCATATATTATACCATTATATAACCTCCCACAGCTCCCCATATATTATACCATTATATAACCTCCCACAGCTCCCCATATATTATACAATTATATAACCGTCCATGGCTCTCCATATATTATACCATTATATAACCGTCCACGGCTCTCCATATATTATACCATTATATAACCGTCCACGGCTCTCCATATATTATACCATTATATAACCTCCCACGGCTCCCCATATATTATAACATTATATAACCTCCCACGGCTCCCCATATATTATACCATTATATAACCGTCCACGGCTCCCCATATATTATACCATTATATAACCTCCCACGGCTCCCCATATATTATACCATTATATAACCTCCTACGGCTCCCCATATATTATACCATTATATAACCTCCCACGGCTCTCCATATATTATACCATTATATAACCTCCTACGGCTCCCCATATATTATACCATTATATAACCTCCTACGGCTCTCCATATATTATACCATTATATAACCTCCCACGGCTCCCCATATATTATACCATTATATAACCGTCCACGGCTCCCCATATATTATGCCATTATATAACCTCCCACGGCTCTCCATATATTATACCATTATATAACCTCCCACGGCTCCCCATATATTATACCATTACATAACCTCCCACGGCTCCCCATATATTATACCATTATATAACCGTCCACGGCTCCCCATATATTATACCATTATATAACCTCCCACGGCTCCCCATATATTATACCATTATATAACCTCCCACGGCTCCCCATATATTATACCATTATATAACCTCCCACGGCTCTCCATATATTATACCATTATATAACCTCCCACGGCTCTCCATATATTATACCATTATATAACCTCCCACGGCTCTCCATATATTATACCATTATATAACCTCCCACGGCTCTCCATATATTATACCATTATATAACCTCCCACGGCTCCCCATATATTATACCATTATATAACCTCCCACGGCTCCCCATATATTATACCATTATATAACCGTCCACGGCTCTCCATATATTATACCATTATATAACCGTCCACGGCTCTCCATATATTATACCATTATATAACCGTCCACGGCTCTCCATATATTATACCATTATATAACCGTCCACGGCTCTCCATATATTATACCATTATATAACCGTCCACGGCTCTCCATATATTATACCATTATATAACCGTCCACGGCTCTCCATATATTATACCATTATATAATTGTCCACGGCTCTCCATATATTATAACATTATATAATTGTCCACGGCTCTCCATATATTATACCATTATATAACTGTCCACGGCTCTCCATATATTATAACATTATATAATCCACGGCTCTCCATATATTATACCATTATATAACCGTCCACGGCTCTCCATATATTATACCATTATATAACCGTCCACGGCTCTCCATATATTATACCATTATATAACCGTCCACGGCTCTCCATATATTATACCATTATATAACCTCCCACGGCTCCCCATATATTATAACATTATATAACCTCCCACGGCTCCCCATATATTATACCATTATATAACCGCCCACGGCTCCCCATATATTATACCATTATATAACCTCCCACGGCTCCCCATATATTATACCATTATATAACCTCCTACGGCTCCCCATATATTATACCATTATATAACCTCCCACGGCTCTCCATATATTATACCATTATATAACCTCCTATGGCTCCCCATATATTATACCATTATATAACCTCCTATGGCTCTCCATATATTATACCATTATATAACCTCCCACGGCTCCCCATATATTATACCATTATATAACCTCCCACGGCTCTCCATATATTATAACATTATATAACCTCCCACGGCTCTCCATATATTATACCATTATATAACCTCCCACGGCTCTCCATATATTATACCATTATATAACCTCCCACGGCTCCCCATATATTATACCATTATATAACCTCCCACGGCTCCCCATATATTATACCATTATATAACCTCCCACGGCTCCCCATATATTATACCATTATATAACCGTCCACGGCTCCCCATATATTATACCATTATATAACCTCCCACGGCTCCCCATATATTATACCATTATATAACCTCCTACGGCTCCCCATATATTATACCATTATATAACC